TTCCCCTCCCCACAACAGACACCCTGTGAGGTGGGTGGGGCTGAGAGAACTCTGACAGAAACTGCTCTTTTTCAAGGACATCTGTGCCAGAGCTTGTGGCTGACCCAAGGTCACATCAGCAGGTGCAACTGGAGGAGTGGGGGATCAAACCCGGTTCTCCCAGATTAGAGCCTTAACCACCACACCAAAAATGAAAGCAGGTACTCGGGGGATAAAATCCAGTATGAGATAGTGTATTTCTTATTCACAGAGGAAACCTACAGTTATGCAAAAAATCTGCACATCCCAGTCTGCAGAACAAAGGATCGAGATGGTGATCACCCAAGTCGTCACCATGGAACCATAAAAATAATCAGGGACAAGGCCATGTTGTCTCTGACTGACCAGTGTCCCATACTGCGAAGGCTGCTCGGTCCATGGTTCTGAAAATTCACACGTGAGGGACCTTTAGAAAAGTTAGATGGTTTGGAATGTCAGCTGGTTTCATAATATTCGGTGTTTTGGATAAGAGGAAAGCATAAGGAGACTGTCAGAAGGCTTCTCTGAGGCCTGGTTCCCACAGGCTCAGTTGATTTTGTTGCTGGTGATTACGGAACACTTGAAAAACAGGCACTGAAATATATGAAGTAATGCCACTGGAAAGCATTGGACTTGAGAACATTTGAGAAGTAAGGGGAGTTCCGTCTGTGGAATAAGAACTGCGCTGGCCCATTCGCGAATGCAAGTTGTCACTGGGTGGTGCGGTAATTCAGTGAGGCGCAAGCGTGTGTGAACCAGCCTTAAGACAAGGAGGAGGACTTTTATTCCTGTGGGACTCAGATGCTTCCCATATACATATTTGGTTGTATAGTACCATCGTATACCACTAGACTGCAGCTGACAACCTCCAGGAGACATTGGGGGAGGCGAGGCCTAGTAAAAACTGGAAGTGACAACAGTAGACACTCTGGAAGTTATAAAACCTCTATGGCTTTACCACAGAGGTTTTGTATATTCTAGCGCCTCCACGATGTCACTTCTGGTTTTTACAGGAAATGATGTCAGCACATTGGTGCGTGCTCCATTTTCACCTCAAGCGTGGCAGGCAAAGCAGCAGGATGCTAAGAGGTGTCCCACTATAGCAGAAGGCCTCGCATCCCTCCCGAGAGGCCTTCCCCAGATGGAACAGGCTCTTTGTCTGAAGGCAGGGTTCTTGCACTAGTAGACGGCTCCACACTTAGCTAAGCAGCAGCCAAGTGCGTGGCCAGTTTGTCCCTGGAAAAGGGCCATATTGCTGCCCTTCTAGCCCCGCCCCATCACATGACGGAAAGCTGGGGTCATGGCTGCCTGCCTCTCTTAGCCATCCTGTCAGTGGTTGCTTTTTGCTGTTGCAGCCAGGGGTGATCACCCGCAGGGCCAGTTGGACAAGCTGGAAGTGACAGGACCAAGCGCTTGACGTACTAACCAGCCACCAAGCAGCCCCTCACCACTATCCACCCTACAGAAGAAAACACCGGGTTGCTGATATTTTAAACATCAGCTACAAAATGCAGTAAAGCCCATCATTTTCTTTTTTAAAAAATTTTCCAACACTTTATTAAATACAAAAAGACAGCTTTAGAATCAAAAGACTATAATAGAATAAATTGAACTTAGTTACCTGATCCCCCCCCCCCCCCACACACACACACACACACAGAGTCTTCAGGAATTTTCCAAAATTGAGTTTGTTTACAACCCTGTCAGCACGTCAAATTGAACCAAAAAACAAACAAATTGGAAGCCAACGCAGTTTCTTTAAAATATGTCTTGTACTGTATGTAAATATTTTTTTTTTAAAAAAGGAAAACTGTCACAGAAAGTAGGCATAATAAAAATTTATTACATCTTTTCTACTCAATACGTTGTTATAAAGAATTCATATTTCGTACAGATGCAAAAAAAATTACCCCTTTTAATATATATTTTTTTTAATGATCAGATTCTATCCCTAAATCTGCTTATGTGGAAGTAAATTATAAGTAAACATACCCAGGATCAGGCCTTTTGTAATTTAACACTGCGAGGTCTTTTTCTAACAAATTTCTTTTTCCCGTTAATTTTTATATTCCACAAAGGGGATGTAGTTGCCTATACATTTAGTGGTCCTAAAAATAATTCAGTATGTGTAACTTCCCCCCCCCCCCCAAAAAAAGGCAGTTTGTTTAGGTTGTTAAGGATGTGGTAGACATAATTTTAATTGCACTGTAATATTACGTAATAAGGCATTATAACCTCTGGGAATATCACAGAGAATATTAGAGGAAGTGCATAATCGACTGGGAACATCTACTCCTCAGACTGTCAAATCCTGAAATGTGGATTTCTTCAGTGCCATTTAGAAGGTGGCACTGGACTCTAAATTTGTCATGCAACAAGATGATGTTGAAGAAAATTCAACACCAAGCAGTAAGTTGTGAGTTCAATTGCCTTGTTTATTACAGTTGCAGGAAGACAGCAAGAAGCATCACCTTGAAAGGGTTACAGTCTCCAAGCTCTTTAATACTAACTTTAGGTGCCATGAGCGATCTTAAAACTCAGGAGTGAAATTTTCCACACGGGACTTTCTGCTAGTATTCTCAGCAGCTGGCTTTCAACTGCTTCAAATCATTTCTTTCCAGTAGTGTGGTTGACCAGCCCTCTGTTATCTCTTCAGCATAGCACCATTTCCTTTTCACCAACGTGACCTCTCCATCCAGCCCTGATGGGGAGACTTCTGCTGACTTGACATGCCTGAAGTCAGGCTAAAAAGCATTTTCTTAATGGCAGTGTAGTGTTATGACCACCATCATCTCTCTTGGACCCCCAAAGCCACTCATTGGGTCTGAGGCAACCCCCTGGGGTGCTGGTAGTACCCCTCGGGCTCACCTGGCTCTCAGTGTTTCTGGCCAAGTACACTCCTCCCATCTCCCCTCTTTTGTTTGCTGACATACCAGCTTCCATAGGTAAACATTGAGGGGTGGAGGTGGTGTTTTTACCAAGAAGGTTGCGTACCCCAGATCTAGGCCTGTGATCTGCTCCAGAGTCCAATGCTTGGCAATGAGAGGCAGGTCTGCCCGATGATCATATGAATAGTACCAGAGGTTACATTCAGAGACAAGGTACTATGATAGAGACATGGTTGTTGTGGTATACGTAATTGTTATTTTTGTTCTGCTGTTGTATCTGCCTAAACATATTTCACTGGGTTTTGAAGCACTGTCATAAGATGCTAAACCAGAGATCGTAACAGGTCCCTCAGTGGCTATTAGCCACAAGGTATAGATGGAACACTCAGTCTGGGGCAGTGATGGTTTGTATTCTTGGTGCCTGGGGGGCCACAGTGGGAGGGCTTCTGAAATCCTGGCCCCACTGGTGGACCTCCTGATGGCACCTGGGTTTTGGCCACTGTGTAACACAGAGTGTTGGACTGGATGGGACATTGGCCTGATCCAACATGGCTTCTCTTATGTTCTTAGGTCAGAAGGAAAAAACTCAAAGTGTATGTTGTACACTTTTATCGTTTCACCTGCAGATCTCTGACAAACTATTCTTTGTGAACACTAATCCACTTCCTGGTATGCAGAAGATTTTGCATTGGCGATAGAGATGTTATCTATCCATTGATTAGAAGTTTATACTTTTAGTATTGGTTCACCATTGTTTAATATTCTTATCTATCTCTAAGAGGTACTGAATTAATTTTGTTTCCACTGACAGCAATATAATTTTAATGTAATGGCTGGGAACTGAATTGGTGATTGGTACAGACAGCACAAAATTTTATGGGTTTAGGGGTTTTTTCCCATATTCTAGTGCAATAGTTTTCTAACCAGTTGTGAGTAATTACCAAATTATCAATAGCAACCTGACTAAGGATTTGCCTGATATGCCGTTCTGCTGGGGCACTTTCTCCCATGAAGACAGATCAAGATAGGTAGCCTTGTTAGTGTGTCTGTAGGGGCAGAAAAGAGTCCACTAGCACCTTAAAGACTAACATTTGTGGCACAGGGTATGAACTTTTGTGAGTCACTGCTCACTTCTTCAGATACAGTTAGGTCTCCATCCACTTTAAAGTTAGTTCAGTTATGCATGTTCATCATTCAGTGTCATCCGTTTGGGGGGGGGGGGAAGCATCGCATTTGACGTGATGTGAAAACTTTTCTGTTGCTCATGATCCATGACAGCCATTTCAAAAGTCATTCACAGATGCATGATTGATATTGCTTGTCTGAACTTGATGATGAATATGCATATGTGAACACACACCCGAAGAGCATACAGGTGTGAATTCATCCCGAATGGACGAATTGCCTCAACTAGAAACCAGAGATTATGAGAAAGTGCTATTTGTGTTGTTTGATTTGTGATGTCTGTTTTGGACATGCGTGAAATGGCTGACATTTGAATGTGCATGTATGAACTCATC